AAAAAATGAGGATAGAAGAATAAGGACCAAAACAAAAAAAAGTAGAAATGACCAAGTTGTGGAATAACATGGTGTAAATTATCCCAAATGGTGCAAATATTCCCAAATCCAGGATTAAATCCCATCCAAGAATGGCTAGCTTCCATCTGTTGCTGGCCACCAGTTGTACCATTGACTCAGATATCTTAAAAATGGTCCCAAGGGGAACAGGTGACCCATTTGTGGTTAGACCAAAATTTATCCTAACTAAACATCTTAAATTTATTCCCTTTTAATGTGTCCTATTGTCTCAGTTATCTAATAATAATACAACATAATCTTTAGTGTAGCACTTTTCAGAATTTTTGTCTAGTATCTAAAAGACAGTACAGGATCCCGGATACTCTTCTTCAAGGCTGATTTAAGGCACAGCACTACATGAAAAGGGCTTTTTCAGTCCAATAAAGTCCATCTTTTTGGCAAAGCTACTTTTGTTGCTGCATGAGACAGAGACCAAGGTCTGGTTTATGATCTGGAGACAGCTAATCAATTAAAATGAACTGAATGAGGGTCTACTCTACAACTAGGACTGTTCAAAGTGCTGTGGGCTACACAATAAATTAGTACAAAGTGGTATTTATAACTTAGTTGGGCAAACAAGACTACATACTTGGTCTGTCTCTTTTGACCCATTGCTATTCACTGCTAATTGGCCAACTGGAGACAGGTATTCGCTCAAGGCCAAATTCAGTGTCTCTGGAGGGTCTACATTCTGCAGGGTTCAATTCAATCCAAACATTCTTTCCTTAGCACACACTGTGAGCCAGACCCCCTTCTTGATCCTATATGGGAAACAAGAGAAGATAGATATATGCTATTATAGATGTAGAAAATACACAAGGCACGATGATCCTTGCCTTCAACAAATTTAGTCTATCTGGCAAATGAGGGGAGGAGAAAGAAAGTAATTATTAAATGTGAAACAATAATGACAAATTACATGCTTATATGTTAGGTAAGTCACTTCATCTCTTGGGGTCTCAATTTTCTCACCTGCAAAATAGAAAGCATTAATCTGATGATTTCAAAATAACATTCTAGGGTGGCGCCTATAGCTCAGTGAGTAGGGCTCATATATGGAGGGTGGCAGATTTGAACCCGGCCCCGGCCAAACTGCAACAAAAAATAGCTGAGCATTGTGGCAGGTGCCTATGGTCCCAGCTACTCAGGAGGCTGAGGCAAGAGAATCACCTAAGCCCAAAAGCTGGAGGTTGCTGTGAGCTGTGACACTGTGGTACTCTACCCAAGGTAATAAAGTGAGGCTCTGTCTCTAAATAAATAAATAAAACTAAAAAAAAAAATAATTACAACATTCTAATTCTAGGATAGTGATGATATTTACCTACCTGAAGACCTAAAATAAAATTAACTCACATGTGTCAGTTGCGAGAGAAAGTTGGAGCAGAAACCGTCTTCTAATTTACTTCTCTCAACACAACCATGCTCACCCACAGATTAGGTCTGAGAAGCTGGGAAAAGCCTGAGTATATGTTGGGGCAGGGACTGTAATACTCTCTGATGTAGACAATGGAAACATGTAAGCTGATGATGTAGAACCCACCATTCAGAGAAAAGAGAGGTCAGTGAGTATACTAAGGAAGATGTTCCCTGAAGGATGTGGAGCTGGAGTGGGTCCTTGCAGGATGTGTGGAGTAGCCTAACTGTAAGGTTATTTGTTGTTAAATAGTAAGAAATAAAAGCAGATAGGTAGAAGGGATCACCCTATGGGGCCCTTGACAATTAAGTAGAACTTTAATAAGACCCTGAATCAGCCCAAGTTCCTGGGAAGCCCACAGATTCTAGGTGAAAGGTCTGTTAATTTTGATAGTCTTACTAGGTGATTGTTTATGCTTTGTGTCCAGTTTGATCCTCTAGACAGAAACTCTAAAGATGGTTGACTAGAGTTCATACTTGTGAACTAAACCCTGAAAGGGAATTTTCAAAGAAAACACACTAATACGCATCTCACCTATCTCTCACCTTTAGTTTTTCACCTGTATATATTTACTGAAACTAAAATAAAAATAAGCCATCAAATTGCAGAGTACAAGTCTTGTGTTGCTAGTCTGCAGATGGAAAAAAAAATCACACAAACACTACATTTAATATAATAATATAAAGATTTGGTATATATACCCCATGATAGTATTAATGTACACAGCTATGATTTAATTTAAAAAAAAA